GTGTATATATGCGTGTGTGCGTGTGTGATCGAGTGTGCGTGTGTATGTGTGGGGGTATAACGGCTACTTGAAAAAAACCTCCAAACGTGACCGTTATAGGCAGGTGACCGCTACGTAGAGGTGTATATATACGTGTATCACAGCACAGGAGCCGCGGCTCACTATACCGCGTCACCGCTCGTGTCCTCATGTGGCACTGAAACGTGATGCGAATACTGCACAACATAAGATTCCGCCACAGGGCATAAGTCACACAGGCAACACCCAAAAACCTTCCCCATACACTCACGTCCTACGCTCACGTAGGTCACGTACGCGCACGTAATCACTCACGTCACGACACTGTATAATACGTGTGTCCAGTGGCGTAGTTGGGGGTGGCCAAAGGAGGCCATGGCCCCCCCTGTTGACCCGAAAGTAAAAAAAATAATAAAATAAGAATTGTTCTACTAAAAAGAGAATTGTCGTAGTCAGAATGAAGGCTGTACATGTACTCAAACGTGCCTCAAATAGCATCTCCTGCGATCTACATTTAAAAAAATTTCTGGGGCAGGACCTGCCGCCTGTTTTCACCCTCTCCTTGGAATCCTGGATCCGCCACTGAACAGTTACTTATCTTGGGAGTAGAAAACAACGAACAAAAATGTCGCCTCTTTGCATGACGTCCATAACAAAGATTGCAGAGCTGAGTGGTGGGAGAGCGTATAGGGTGTGAAAAGGGAGGCGAAGGAACCATTAAAATATTAAGTCATCCACAATTTTGCGCAGTTCGCTGTTTTTGCCCCCTCCTTCCTTGTTACAAAATCCTGGCTACGCCACTGCGCGTGTCCTCAGGTCTTCAACGATGGAATCACTAACAAGATTGTTGGCGTCTATGACGACGGCGTCGGCGGCGACGGCGTTGACGGCATGCTGCTGCTGCGTATCTACGGGGAGAACACCGACCTACTGATCGATCGCGATGCAGAGATGCGAAACCTCACGCGCCTTCACGCTGCTGGCTGCTGCCCTCCTCTACACGCACGCTTCAACAACGGACTCTGCTACGGCTATGCAGTCGGCATCTGTCCAACGGCTGGTAGCGTTACCTCCGAACCAATCTACAGGTACAAGCGGACTAAGGAAACTATTATATATTGTCTGTGCGGGTATGACCGACGACGACGGGTGTGGCCACGTAACCAGGATTTTTGTTATTGTAATGTAATGTAACGTAATGTAACGTAACGTAACGTAACGTAACGCAACCAGAATTTTTGTTATTGTAATGTAATGTAACGTAACGTAACGTAACGTAACCAGGATTTTTGTTATTGTAATGTAATGTAATGTAACGTAACGTAACGTAACCAGGTTTTTTGTTATTGTAATGTAATGTAACGTAACGTAACGTAACCAGGATTTTTGTTATTGTAATGTAACGTAACGTAACGTAACGTAACGTAACCAGGATTTCTGTTATTTTAATGTAATGTAACGTAACGTAACGTAACCAGGATTTCTGTTATTGTAATGTAATGTAACGTAACGTAACGTAACGTAACGTAATGCAATGTAATGTTATGTAATCAATAGCTAATAAATACCCAATAGCTATAGGTAAATACCCAATAGCTATAGGTAAATACCTAATAGCTATAGGTAAATACCTAATAGCTATAGGTGAATACCCAAAAGCTAATAGGTATTTATTAGCTCATGATGTAATGTATATTAGATTGACTGCAACGATGATGGCTAGAATACATTCGATTCGTGCAAAGCCCGGCCAGCCCACCGACCCGTGTCTGTTCACCGTCTTCCACAGATGGCTGGACATGGTGCCTGAGTCGTTTGCGGACACTAAAAAGAACGATAGGTAGGTGAAAGCGCGTGGCATACAAACAATTTTGGAAGTCATGTGCGTGTCACAACATATATTTTGTGATGTGGAACGATAAGGACTTTCAGGTAAATCGATATTGCAGATACCGAAAGTTCATTCCAAAAATAAAGACGCTACGAACGGAAGTAGAAGTGTTGGAGCGCCATCTAGTGGACCTCGATTCTCCCGTCGTATTTTGCCACAACGACCTTCTCTTGAACAACATTGTATACAACAAGAGTGAAGGTACGTGAGATGGCTCAAATGGCTAATCAGTCTGAGCAAGATATCTATTTACGGTGCCTTCAACACTGCATGTTGCTAGCTAGGTCGGTCAATAAGCTTTACACACATAACTCTTTGACTTACTAACATCCATTTGTTACTACCGTATTTCTATTTTCAGGGACGGTAACATTTATTGATTATGAATACGCGGCTTTCAACTACCAAGCCTTTGATATTGGAAACCATTTCGCAGTATATTCAGGTATACTATCAAGAGCGTATAAAGAAAGCCTTCTTTATACGCTCTTGATACTATGCATCAGCTAGTAGCTATATCTCTCTCACACACTCCCGATTAATCCATCGTGAAATGCACAACGGGATATTATAAACGAGATTATTTATCAAGGGAATCACAAGTGTTCTTTACAAGCAGGTGTCCCTTCTGTAGATGTGCCTGCTAACACAACTTTGGCTTTGCTACGTGGTTGTATAGAAGAGCCGAATTACAGAGGATATCCAAAGAGGCGTTATAAGAAGAGATGGTTGAGAGAATATCTGGCGGCCTTGCACGCGGAGACAGGCCGTGGCGTCACTGCCACGGAACTCAGACATCTCTACGTACAAGTGAACAGCTTTATACCCGTAAGTTTTGACACGTATACTAGTATAGTATCCCGATATAGCAATCTAACGCGCACGCGCACGCATACGCACGCGGGCTGGCACACGCCGGCGCGTAGGCATGCACGCATATTTACATGCACGCACACCCACGCGCGTACGCACGTATATTTACATGCACACACACCCACGCGCGTACGCACGCATATTTACATGTGCGCACACTCACATCTGCACGCACACCCACAAGCTCACGAACACTCGCGTTCACGCAAAGTACACGCACGCGAACACTCGTGCGTTCACGCGCATCTAGGCTCGAACGCACACACACGCGCGCACGCACACACACACACGCGCGCGCACGCACACACACACACGCGCGCACGCACATCAACAGACCAGTCGCTTGACTGCGGTGCATCGCATCGTTCCATTATTATACGAAGTAATTTTGTGGCAGTGTGAAGAATCGAGAAAAATTATGGCTCTAACTCTATTAAAGCCGATTTAGTTATCTATTAAATGCCCACGAATGCCTCTGACTGTGGCCTTGTTATGCTCCCTCAAGTTATTCTTTGATTGATTAGAGCACGTTGCTAAGGGCGCATGACCTAGAACGGAACTATATCGGAGTTTCAAGCCTACGGCTTGATGCTCTTTATGTTATGTGGCGTCACGTGTTTTCGTGTCTGTGTATTACGTAGGCCTATTGTAGAACTATGAGAATTAATGTATTTTTAAAATAAATATGAAACTTTTCAGGCTGCGCACTTATTCTGGGCTGTTTGGGGCTTGATACAATCATACCATTCCGATATTGGCTTTGACTACTTAGGGTAAGCGTTGTACAATGTTATAGGAATACGGAAAGTGTGCATCATTTAAACAACCGTTTAGATTTACTGACAAGTCTATGGCATGTAGTGGTGTCAGTGGAATTTGGAATTTCAGTCAGAAGTTAATTACCACTCATTTTACAATCAAACTTGCTCGAGAACTATCACTAGGTGGCGCCAGCTAAGTGATCAGCCGTGATTGAAGCATTTTCGCTCTAGTTCTCTCCCAGTTCTCTCTCTCTCTCTCTCTCTCTCTCTCTCTCCCAGTTCTCTCTCTCTCTCTCTCTCTCTCTCTC